TAGCTGAGCGTGGTGCTGACAACACCAAGCCAAGGGTTGAAATCCCCTTACCGGTCATCTTTGAAAAAAAGAAAGAAAGAAACTATCCCCAACAGACCTTACTCTGGAGGGTTTTTGATCTGGGATCTGTGGACAGGTTTCAGGATGTCTGTAAATCCCTCTGAAACTATAAAATTTCAGGTATGGGTATACTTTACTGGGGAGAGGGTTCAAAGCTTTGATAAGATTCTGAAAAGGATCCATGATCCAAGAACATTAACCATGGCTCTAGACCAAAGCTCCTTCACAAGAGCCATATAGACTGAGGTCTGACCAGAGATGACTTCTACTTAGTCTTAACCAAGTTTTCTAGGCACAAGAGAAATCAAAGCCCAAATACATGGAAGCTCTTGATGAGAGTCCCCTAGAATATTAAGGAGGTTGGAGACTATAGACCTACGCTCTGGAGAAAAAAAACATTGCAAAATGGGACTTCTCATTTGATTAAAACAGAGAAGGCTTGGAAGGGAATGTGGAGAAAATGGAACAAATGCGTTGAGGTGGTAGGCTGGCTTATCTGAAATGTTTCTTCATATTTGAGTGATAATCGTATAATGTTTATACAACAAATCCATTTTTAAGGCAACTGATGCTATGAAGGACTCTACATCCCCCTTTCCAAACAGAAGGACCATATAGCCCTACCAACATACTTGCTAAGTGAATCATAGGGACATTTCCTCTTAGGGGATTTCTCTCTGCCCTCTTAAAGCATTGTCCCACTAGGAAAATATCAGCAAAGAATGAATGAGACAACCAGTTTCTGCCAAGCTAAACAGTGAAGTGGACATCGCCTGAGTTCCCTCAGAATGCCTGTCTCCTGGTGGTCCAGCTTCTAGAAAGGATGAAATGAACTTTAAACTCAGCAAGGATAGTTCTTAAAGGCTACAATCCCAAAGCTGGACCTTCAGAGACACTCTGTAGTCATCTGAACTTCAACAGGAACAGACTTACCCAGTGATGCTAAGCTCAGGAAGCCAGACCAAATAAGTGCTGGCTGTGGCTGCTCCTCTAACCACTGCCTCCACCCCTGCCTTCTGGATTCATGCTGGCTACTAGCACTAAGAGGAGATGATCAACGATCAGAGAGAAAGGAAAGATTGTTGTTGACACCAGGAGCCCAAAAATCACCCCAAAAGTTGATCAGAATCCTCACTTGAGATTTAGGAGGGAAGGCAGAAACTTTAGAAGAAAAAAAAGTAAATAATAATTAAGCACCATTTGTTAAAACTTCCAGGGATTTTTCTGAGGGTCTATATCAATAAACATTTTTAACTCAGTCTGTTTTTTACTCCATCGACAGAATTCTGGACATGTTTAGAACACTGGCTGCGAGGTACTGTCAGATTCTAAATTATCAAAGATTCAATATTGTTTGTAAGGCTGTACTTATAAAAGAGGGAAAGTAGAGAAATCCACTTTGGTTAACTTTAGATAATTAAAACACAGACCTAGAAGCCCATTGATGGTGCCTGACTCGGGGCATGTGGCTAGGCAGGACACATCAGTCTTTTTTTGTGTTTGTTTTGTTTTTGGCAGCTGGCCAGTACAGAGATCTGTACTCTTGACCTTGGTGCCAGTCTCTTTTTTTGTTGTTTTTAAAGTCCCAGGATTCTCTGACTTCATAAGGCAAGACTAGGCCCAGAGCTTGGCACCAGTCATGCATCCTACCCTTCAGTGGAGAAACTTTTGCAACATACTTGCTAAGTGAATCATAGGGACTTCTAAGCTAGCAGTAATCTCCCAAACTGCTTCTAGGTGCTCACCATACATACTCCACTCATTATATTCTGAAAACATCTCACCCATAGGTGCCATAACTGAAACCAGATTCCTAAGCAGCAGCAAAACATCTCAGGTTAAGAAAGGATGCTTTGTCCCCTCCTTATGGTTGGGGAGTGAGAACAAAGAAGAGTGCTAAAATGATACAACTACTCATAAAAACATGTGCACCTGTATTACTCAATCACCATGATGTGCAGATAAGCAGACAGTGCTGTCTCAAAAGAAGGATACACGGGCCCTTGGAAGCCAGTTTGTTCCTAGTAACTGAGCCACAACTGCCCTGTCAGCCAGCATCTTGGTAGTTCCTCCAGACCCCTAGCAGATGGGCCAGTTCCATCCCCAGAATCATTCAGTCCCCTTCCCACCAAGAACCTGTCAGCACTTACCATTTAGGGCATATGACTTCTTCTCGCTCACCTCATCACTGAGCTCACACATGTCACTGTAGGCCCGGGCCAGGCGCCAGAGAAAGTCCTGCCGGCTTCCATACTGCAGACCAAGCAGAAAGGGGTGAGACCCCTCTTCCCTGGGCCTTGGCCTTGGCCTTCCCCTCTCACCCTAGGTTTGAGTTTACAAACTAGTGTGTTAATAATCACTGACATCAGGCCAGCCCCTATGCACAGCCCCCCTCCCCCCCCGCCCCACGACTTCCCATGTGCAGGTAACTGATGACACCTCTAGCCAACAGCTTGTACAATCACAGGGTGAGGGCAGTCTGGCCTCCTACTACTGTCAGAAGGAAAGGTCAACTCCAAGAAAATGTGATGAGGCACAGCAAAAGAGGTCTTGTTGACACATGAAAAAAATGTGAAATTTCCCAAGAAAAGGGAAAATTCTAACTTTGGGGGGACATTTTTACCTGGATGAGCATTAATTTTGTCAGTGAACCTGAGAAGAAGGGAATTGTGGTTGAGTGACCTACACAATTGTCACTTGTGATGGAAACTTCAAGTGGGGCAGGCAGCTTGGGCTCTGCCTCAAGGAAAAGAGAAGAAGAAGGGGAAAAAACATTCCAGTTCTTTCCATATTTTCCTCCACAGTGAGAAGTGGAGCTCTTTTTTTGCACTAACTCTGCAGGAGGCAGAGGACTGCACTCCTCCTCCCCAGAGGAGGAAGCTCTGGGGTAGGCAATACACTGGCTCCAGGGTCCACCCCGGGCCTCCTTGGAAGAGGATATGCAACCTGGGGGATGTAGAACCAGCCATTTCACCCCCATTTCCCTTCCCATGTCACCTTGCAGGGTCAGTAACCACATGGGCCTTGCTTCATTCCCTGGGGGTAAGGACCTGAGGAAGGGAGGAAAGGAGGAAGTAGAGAGGAAGGGAGGGGAGGGGAAATAGGCAGCTGGAGCCTCACCACCAGCTTGTTGTTGAGCAGCAGCTGGAAACCCTCCCGCTTGCTCTGCTCGCTGCCCTGGTGCAGCTCATCTGCCTGCTGCAGGAGGGGCAGCACGTCCTCCAGGCCCGAGGAGACTACAGCCTCGACAGCACCAGGCACTGGATGCGAAGCTGCCTCCACCTCCAGATCCAGAGAATCCTTTCTCCCCATCTTCACAGTCTCACAGCTTACTTCATCTTCCCCGTCATCACTCTCCTTGTCAGAGTCCCGCTCATAGTCAGACTCGGCATTGGCTGTAGTATAACTGGCAGAGAAACGTAAGTGACAGTGTCAAGGGGGGTGGGTGGAGTGTGGTTTATTCAGGTCAGAGTCTCTAGCACCTATTGTACCTGGAACTGGTGTACCAAATAAGAATCATTCCTACCTCTCAAGGGCAGAAATTCGTCTTCAAGAGAAAGCTTTCCATGGGCATTATGGGCAGGGAAAATGATCCAGGAGGGGAGGAGTAACCTGGTCTGGGCCAATATGAGAACACTGCTTAGCTACCACCAAGTCTGCCAGAAAACAGACAAAAAGAAAAAGCCTGGAAAGGTATGTATAAGATGTGGCCAGTAGATCTCTTAGGGTAGAGGAATTAAAGGTACTTTTTCTTCTGTCTTTTAATATTATATGATTGCTTTAAGTGAGCATATCTTCTTTTTATAAATAAAAAAATTTTTTAAGATTAAAAACCTGGGCCGGCCCGGTGGCGCACTGGATAAGTGCGCCGCTTGGGAAGCGCAGCGGCGCTCCCGCCCGAGGGTTCGGATCCCACATACAGACCGGTTCCCGCTCACTGGCTGAGCGAGGCGCGGGAGCGACACCGAGGGTTGCAATCCCGTTGCCGGTCCCCGGTCCGGTACGGGGGCAACACTGAGGGTTGCGATCCGTTGCCGGACACGGAAAAAGACAAAAGACAAAAGACAAAAAAAAAAACCTAGAAGAGCTGGGCTGGCCCATGGCTCACTTGGGAGAGTGTGATGCTGACAACAGCAAGTCAAGGATTAAGATCCCCTTACCGATCATCTTTTTAAAACAAACAAACTAACTAACCAACTAACTAACCA